GGCAAGTCACTTAATGCCAATTGCCTTACAAAAAAAAAAAAATAATAACAATCTATTCCCTTCCCTTCCTGCCTCATCTGGGACCATGCCATTAATCAAAAAAAAAAACAAAAAACACTTATTAATTGCCTGCTATTTTCCAAGCACTGTGCTTGACTCTAAGGAAACAAAGGGGCAGCTAGATGGCACAGTGGATAGAGTACTGGGCCTGGAATCAGAAAGACTCATCTTCCTGAGTTCAAATCTGACCTCAGACACTTACTAGCTATGTGACCCTGGGCAAGTCACTTCCCCTGGTTGCCTCAGTTTCCTCATTTGTAAAATGAGCTGGAGAAGGAAACGCCAAACCACTCCAGTATCTTTGTCAAGAAAACCCCAAATGGGGTCACAAAAAGTCAGACACAACTGAACAACAACAACAACAACAACAACAGGAAAAGACAAACAAAACTGAAACACTCCCTGCCCTCATAGAGCATTTAGTCTATTGAAGGAAACAACATGAACCATATAAATAAATACAAAGTAATTTAGGTGATAGGTGGAAATACTAGCAGACTCCTGGGGGATCCAGAAAGGCCCCCAGTAGATGCTAAGACTAGAGCTGAGCTTTCAAGGAAACTAGGAATTTTAAGAAGTGAGAAAATTCATGGTAAACAAGGGGGATAGTCTGTGCAGAGGCATAGATGGGAGACAATGTTGTGATTAAGGATGAGCAGGAAGGCCAGTTTTTCTGGATTGTAGAGTATACGAAGGGGTCTAATATATGATATCACTGGAAATGTAGGTTGGAACAGGTTGCAAAAGGTCTCAGTGCCAAATAGAAGATTTTATGTTTGGTCTTGGAAGTAAAGGGAATCACTGGAGTCCCTTGAGTGGGGCAGTACCATGTGGAGCATGGGTGGGAGTGGGGAAAGACTTATGGGAGGGAAACCCATTAGGAGGCTATTTTAACTGTCCAAGTTAGGAGTGATGAGAGCCTGAACTAGGGTGGCAGCTATGTGAGAAGAAAGAAAGGACTGGATGGAAGGGGAGGAAAAAGCAGGAAAAAATGTAGCACCGTGCCTCCCTCATTTCCATGCATGGAAGGAACAAGATGGCATAAACACCCATTGACCAACCCATGCCAACTGAGGGCATCACTGTGGTGGGGGAAGGGAGGAGGATATCAAGCTGTCTGTGTCCTGGATGACAGCAGAGAATCCTTTGCAGAGAGTCAGGGTCCGCGTCGTATCGACTGTAGAGTCTCAATTAGAAAGATTTTTATGTAAGCAACACAAGAGCGAGCCCCACATTCCTCGTTTCACATCAGCCTGTGTCAAGGGTACTACTAGCTTGGGAATCATAGGATGCTAGAGCTGGGAGGAACCTTAGAGATTATCTGGTCCAAAAATCTCCCCGCATTTTACAGATGAAGAAATTGATATTTATGGAAGCTAGATGGTCAACTGGGTGATGCAATAGATAGAGTATTAGACTTGGAGGTAGAAAGATCTAAATTCAAATCCTGCCTCAGACACTAGTTGTGTGACCCTGGACTTTCTCTCAGCCTCAGTTTCCTTATGTGTAAAATGGGGATAATAATAGTACTTACCTCTCCAGGCTATTGTAAGGATCAAATGAGATAACATGTGTGAAATGTTTTGCAAACCTTAAAGGGCTCTTTATAGGCAAGCTTTTGTTGTTGCCTGTTGTTGTTGTTGTTGTTGTTATATGACTTGCCCAAGGTCTCACAGCTGGTAAATGGCAGAGCTGGATTCTGACCCAAGTCTTCTGATTGCCAACTGTGCCTTTTATTACTCCACACTGCCTGTTACCTCCCCCAGATCTATCCTTCTTGCTCCGTCTTCTGTAGGGAACTTGGATTGAATATACGGGCCCCCTTGGCCACCCAATGGTTAATTTGGTTTTCTTGGGTTGACAACAAACACACCACCGAAACAGGCAACTATTTTTATCCCCAGATTAATCACAAAAGGCTAATGCTTTCACCTTCCCTGTGATTAAAAATTAGGAGACCAAATTCTATAGTGGTACAGGATAATAACCAATCCAGCTAGTGTGATGTATGAATAATGCATCTCTCGGCTGGCTGTTCCACTGCTGCTCTCCCCCTCTGCTGTCTCCCTCTCACTGTCTCTTCTGCCCAAGTTTGAATGGAGAGGTAATGAGCTGCTCTCCTTCCGGTAAAGTTACAGCTGTGGAGAACGACTGTTGATTTCTATTCAGTTTGACGCCCCGTGCATCCTCCCCCAGCCCTTCCTCCTTCTGCTGCATAGGCACACACACA